TTTCCTAGCAGTCAGTCCTTGGTATTCTTCTCCAGCATCACAGCTCAAAGGCATCAATTCTCCTTCTATCCTCCTTGGTCATTGTCTAACTCTCTGATGCATAACAAGTGATTATGAAGACCATGGCCTGTATCAAATGCACCTTAGTCTCCAGAGAGACACCATTGCTCTTCAATACTTTGGAGAGGTCCCCAAATGTAAATGTAGTGTTCTAGCCATTTTTGGATGATATTCAGGAACATTTTGCTGACATGTAATATTAATTATATGGGTTGATAATTTCCACATTCTTATGGATCACCTTTCTTGAGAATGTAAACAAATATGAACTTTTTTCTAGTCAGTTGTCCAGGAGGCTGTCCTACAAATTGTCTGGTATAGACTGGTGAGAATGTCCAAGGCTATATCTGTTACTAAAATGTGTCAATTTGTATTGGGATCTTATTTTTTGCCAACGCTTTCAGTTCAGTTTGAACTCCTTCTTTCATTACCATTGGCTTTTGATCATATGATACTTCCTTAAACATTTCAATGTCAACCAATTCTTTTTGATACAGCGACCCTGTGTATCATCTCCTCCTCTTTTCCTCTTCTTCCTTTTCTTCTTCCATAGCATGTCTCAGTATTGCAGCAGCTCAAATTACAAATTTGTTTTTCAATTCTCTCACCTTGAAAATTAAGCTATTTCTATTTCTATTAAGCTATTTCTTCCCTTTTTATTCTCCAGTTATTGCTCTATGCACATTCCATTGTTGTATTTTGCTTTGTCTTTTAAGTTAGCCTTTGATATCTTCTGTTCGGCTCTTTTACTTTAGCATCTCTTCCCTTTGTTTGGGTTTCTTGATGGTCTAGTGCAATTTTCAGAGTCTCTTCTGACATTTATTTTGGTTCTTTCTCTTCTGTCTTTGTAATGACTATATGTTCTTTTCATGAGTAATATCCTTGATATCTTCTCAGAACTCTGTAACTTATTTGTTTTTTGATTATAGATGTTCAATGTTCAATGCTTTAAATTTATTCTAAGGATGGTATTTAAACTAAGGTTGGTTAGACTCAAAGTCATATTTTGGTTCCTTTGGATTCTTTAAAAAAATGTATTCATTCTCAGTGTATGTTTGCACATTAGTAATTTATATATTTTTTTCATAGTCAGCCCCTGTCCTAGTTTTGACTGCTAATATAGGGCTTCTCCAAGAATTTCTTCCACAGATGTAGTCAATCAGATTTCTGTGTAGTCCATCAGATAAGGTACATGTGTAAAGTCAGAGTTTGTGTTTTTTAAAAAGGCATTTGCTTAACATGCACAAGGCCCTGAATTTGACGGCAAGTAGCTCCACACACACACAAAAAAAGGTATTTGCAATAAATAAACCTTTGAAAATGCAAAATTCAATCATTTCATTTTAGGTCTCATTTCTATCACTACATTTGTACTTTCTGAGTACCATTTCTTCTTTTTTTTTTCTTCAAAAGGGACTGGTTTTTTATTTTAATTGTGTTTCTATAAGAGGAAAATAAGAATATGGACCGAGAAGGCTTAGTGAGTCAGCCATGGGGTCCCTCTGAGTCTGTGTCATGGTTCTCTTCCTTTTGTTTGGATAGCTCTTTAAGGATGTCCATTTCTGCAGACGTGAACTTGGGGGTTAGCGTCACACTGTCATAATCAAAGTCTTCATCAAGTAAGAAGGGTTGAACTTCATCTCCAAGTACACCCTAACCTTTACTTCCTGGGATGCCTGTCTGCAGAAGTCTCCAGCATGTCAGCTGACCTGTGTAGTTTAGATTCAACAGCTCTTGCAGTTCTTCAAGCCAGGATACCTGTAGTCTAGGGGTCTCTTCTACTGGTCTGCCAACTCCATCTGTGATGGGCCTTGGCTTTACTTCAGGGGTAAGGAGCTGGTTTACCAAAGGAATGTAAGAAGGAGCATTGGAGCTGACATTCTGTTCCACTTCCCCTGGCAGCAGCAGCAAATCCTTGTCCATCTGGGGATGAATATCTTCATTTATGTCCAAATCTTCTAAAGTTAGAAAATTGTCTATCTTTACCTTTCCTGCCCAATTCAGATCACCTTGCAAAGAACTGCCGACTCTTTCGCTTTCACCCATCACACTCTGTTCTTCTTCTGAACACTGCGATGAAGTATGAAGAAAGGCCGTTTTGGTTCTGAGATGATGGTCCTTTGGTCCCATTTTAGGAATGCACTTTGCTGCAGCAACTACATTTTCAGAGCAATCAGCTCCAAATGCTCCCTTTTTGGTCCCATTATCCTCTTTTGAAAGATGAGTAAAAGTGTTCAGAAATTCTTCATATGTTTGCTCATGGCAATTAATAAACTTATCCAAGACGTCTAAAGTTAATCGATCTTCATCCATAGTTTCCAATTCCTGTATTTGGGCTGGCATTTCTCTCAAGAGACTTTATCTTTCCATTAACAGCCCAGCACAGAAGCCAATCCGCACTAAGATTATTTCCAACTAAGATTAGTGATAAAAATTACTATCAGGTCATTCTTCCCCCATCATCCATGAGACTCATGCATCTTTTAGCCCTGTGTAGCTTCGGTCCTTTGCTTCCTTGTTCTAAAACAACCTAAGGACCCTATGACTCAATGCAGTGGTCAAGACCCCGGTGTCCAGGCAGAAGACAGTAAGGGCATCTCTGCACAGCCCTGCAGCCTGTGGTTTCCAGGCAACTACACTCTCCCCCAGGAGCAGCCGTTCTTCCTATGGTCACTTTCTTGAGTGACGGGGAGAGACTTCAGCAGCATAGGGGTAAGAGTTTGCTTGACACTTGCCCAGCTGCCTTAGCCTTCCAGAAATTAAAAAACCGAGTCTATATCAGTAACTCTCACGTACAATCCCCTAGTTTTCCGCCTTTAGTCACTTCGCCGTACCATTCCTTCTTCATTGTTTCCAATTTTTGCATTCCAGTAGGCAATTATTATTAACATATCTTGATTGCATGTTTGATCAATTTCTAATTGGAAAACTTGGTAAAAATCCTCAATTTTCTTCTCTTTGACTTTAATATTGGTGTGTATATTTGAATGATAAGCACCTTGATAAGTGTTCCTTATATGCATATGGATAGTATCCTTTCACTCACAACAATGTATTTCAGAATAGAATTTGAAATTGTCTTTTTTTCACTATGACTGCAATACAATTCTACCTAAGTTTTTCACTCCTAGCATAGTATATCAGGTGATTATCTGATTGAAAGTGACCAATGGTAGCCAATCTAATCTAACGACTAAAATGTTGAAGCTCAAACATTCCATTTTATTTTTCACAACTTCTAGTTTCCTATATTCATACTTTACACATTCCACATTCTAAGTGTTTGCTGTTAGAGCACTTGTTTGTCAGTGTGCTGTACTGGAGTAACTTGTGATTTGCTATGCTGCTGAAAGCCATACCCCTGGTGTTCAGATGCCTGAGGATCATCCATGATGGACAAGTTTTACTAGAGCTTCCAAAGCAGGATAGACTAAGAAGCAGGAATGATCATTCACTTCTGAAATAACAAGCGTCTATAAATCTTATGAATAATAGAGGAACTACAGTAGAATATATAGTAGAGTAGCTAAAGTATTAATGGTACAGCCCACATTGGAAGTTAATAAAAATGAGGCAGAACAGTTGCAAATATCCTTTAATAATTAGAATATAGGATTTTTATTTAGAATATTTTATTTTATTTCATTGCATAGATACAGCCAATCTGAATCCTGTACAGTTCATTAGGTGATGTTCATGTGTATAATCAGAGTTTATCTGTTGTGGTTTTTTAACAAAGATATTTCAAATAAATAAGTCAGGGAAAGACTTCATAGTTCAAAATTGGAAAGGAGTGCATCAGGGCTGCATCCTTTTCCCATACCTTTCCAAGCTATATATAGAACAGATCATTCAGAGAGCAGGGCTTTATGAGGAAGAATGTAGCATCAGGATTAGAGGAAGACACATCAGCAACCTATGTTATACAGATGACAAAACCTTGCATGCTGAAACTGAAGAGGATCTGAAGCACTTGCTGTAGAAAGTCAAGGACTTGATTGAAGCAAGAAGACAAAGATTCTCACCACTGGGCCAATTGACAGAACTATCATAGATGAAGAAGAGATGAAGTTGTTAACAATTACAAGTTACTAGGCTCCACAATCAACACTCTTAGCACCAGTAGTCAGAAAATCAAAAGACAAATTGCATTGTGAAAATCTGCTGTGAGGAAACTTTGCAGGGAACTGAGAAGAATGATGTCAGTCTAGAGACTAAGGTGAATCCAATCCAGGCCATGGTCTTCATAATTATTTGCTATGCATTAGAGAGCTGGACAATTACCAAAGAAATTGATTAAAGAAGAATTGATTGATGTTTTCAAATTGTGGTGCTGGAGAAGTCTTGAACATACCATAGACTACCAAGAAAACAAATAGATTTGTCTTGGAGAGTGTGAAACCAAGGTTCTCCTTGGAGGCTAGGATTTTGAAGCTCTGTCTCACATACTTGGGGCACATGGCCTGTAGTGGCCAATCCTTGGAAAAGGACATCCTGTTTGGAAAGGTGGAGGAACAGCACAGGAGAAGACCCCAGATAAAATGAACTGATACAGTAACTAGGGCAATAGGGGTTGGTGTGTTGAAATTGGTGAAACTGGCTCATGACAGGTCAAGCTTGAGAGGTTTCTGTACATAATATAACTATGGGTCACAGACAACTTGACAACACATAACAACAACATTCAAAATTCTGCCTTTCACTGCCCAGCTCCATCTCTACCAAAACCAAGAGCATATTTTCCAGTGACAGTCCTGTCATGTAAAATGACACAAGGAAATGTTAAGACTACAAAACAGGTACATTGCAATACTTAATAAAGTTAATCCAAGGCCCATTTGTTTATGCATGTGGGTTTTTCTTGGTTTTTTTTTGTTTGTTTTTTTAATGATTTGACAGCAAAAGTTTGGAGAAATCTTTTTCTACTAAAAAAAATTTAAAAATAAAAAAAATTATAAAAAGCAATGTGAGAAGTGTGAGCTCACCCTTGCAATCACCCCAATCCTGTGCCTGCCTCATCCAATTTAGCTCCACACCAGTGTCTACACGCCTAGTCAATCCACTTGTCTTTAATTGGGAGCACCTTGACCTGTCTTCCAACAAGAGGTTGCTCCAAGAGGCTCTGAAATGACATTTCCCTGAAGTTAGAAGTTCAGAGAAACACACAAGTGGGATAGCCACCCAACTGATCTCTAGAGCATTGTCTTCAGATCAAGAACATATCAATGTCTCAAAGAAAGCACGTTATACTACACAATACACAAGAGCAAAGCAAGATGTCACCACCAAAGGGTGACACAGTATTAGTGAATTTCCTGAAGCTAGAAAGTCTGATGGAACTTTCTGACACAGAATTTAAAGGAAAGGAAGAATGATTGAATATGTTCAATGGATAAAAGACAGACTTGATGAATTAGAGGATACTACAAGCAAAAAAGAGGAGGATCTTACAAAAATGCAGAACAATGCAGAGAATACAAAAGAGGCATTAGTAGGACTGGAAAAATGAGAAACCACTATCCAAAATATAAGGTTCAATGTATCAGAAACTGTCAACATGATGGGGGGGCACATGAGCAGAGTTGAAGAGATGGAACACAGAACCAGTGAAATTGAAGACAGAATCATCACCACTGATCTGCTAGAGCAAAAAAGCAGACTCAGAAAAGAAGGAAAAAGAAGAAAACCTAAAAATAATGTGGGACACCCTCAAGATAAAGAACATGTGCATCATTGGATTCGCAGAAAAAGAGGAAGCAAGTAAAGGCACTGAAAAAGCTGTGGAAGAATTACTGGAGGAAAACTTCCCAGGCATAATGAAGAACGAGAGAATATGTATTCAGGAAACTCAGCGAACACCATATAGACTCAACCCCAAAAGAAAAAACATCAGGGTATATCATAGTTAAGTTTGCCAGGACCAAAGATAAGGAGAGAATTCTGTAAGTAGCAAGGGAGAAACAAAGAGTAACCTATAAGCAAACACATCAAAAGGCAGGAAAAACTGACCATTAACTCTCTAACCCAACATCTCCAGCAACAACAAGAAAACCCAACCCAACACCCTTTAAAAAACCTGAAATTATAAAAATTAGAACAGAAATAAATGAAATAGAAAACCGAAAAGCGATTGAAACTGTCAACAAAACTAGGAGTTGGCTCTTTGAAAAGGTCAATAAAATCGATAAACCACTAGCAAAACTCACAAAAGAAAAGAAGACAAATAATCCGAATAAGAGATGAATCAGGCAACATCACAACAGAACCAACTAAAATTAAAAAAGCTAGCATTAGTGTATTGTGAAAAACTGTACTCAAACAAATATGAAAACCTAGAGGAAATGGAAATGCACAACCTACCTAAACTGACACAAACCGAAATTGAAAATTTGAACAGACCCATTACAAAAGAAGAAACTGAAAATGTAATACAACAATTTCCAACCAAAAAAAGCCCTGGACTGGATGGTTTTAGAAGTGAATTTTATCAAACATTCAGAGAAGAACTGCCACCAATTCTACATAAATTATTTCAGAAAATAGAAAAAGATAGAATTCTCCTAGACACATGCTTTGAAACGAACATATCCTTGATACCAAAGCCAGGAAAGGACACCACTAAAATAGAAAACTATATAGTCCAATATCTTTCATGAACATAGATGCAAAAATCCTGAATAAAAAGCTGGCCAATAGAATCCAACGATGTTGTTGTTGTTATGTGCCATCGAGTCGCCTGTGACTCATAGCGACCCTATGTACAACAGCCCTAAACTCTGCTCTGTCCTGTGCCAATTGCACCGTCTCTGACACTCCCATCCCAATTATCCCAGTCACTGAATCAGTCC